GCGAGACAGCAAATTGAAAATTTCTGCACCACACGTGAATGTAAGTCGGCGATGATTGTGTCCGCCAAACGATACGATACGACCACGGGAGCGACAGGGCTCGTTGGGAAGGCGCTCGGATTATTTTTTCTTCCAATCGGAAGCCGTCATAGCAGTGAGCTTGTGGTCCGTAATTCAACCCGAGTTCGAGTTCCGGGTCTCGATCGCGGCCAGCGACGCCACCGTAATCGAAGGCTGGTAGAAGTGGGTGAATAGATAAGCGACGATTCCCGACCGAACAAATAGAATCATCGACCAAAGGGAATTCGTGGGCTGGCGGACGGACGGACGGACAGATGAATGAGTGATCCAATGAATGAATGAACGAATGTTCAAATACCAAGTTCAAACAGATTAGCTGCATGAATGAACCACTGAATCTCTAGAGCTTCGAATCATCGAGCTAATTAGAGCAGCATCTCCTACTGAACACGTAGGTGGTTGTGACTCGATGCCGTTCGCTCGCACGTGATTTACGCAGCGAGTACGCGCGAAAATCTCGCGCTTCACTCGAACTCGACGGAATCAATCCAAGGCCCTCTCCCGAATCGAGTGTTATAGCTCAGTATTTTCAAGGGAGGCCGGCAATTGCTTTTCCCTGAATCTCGGCCGCGTATGAGGTTCCCCGGTGATAAACTCTGGAAGAAGTCCTTCCTCCAGCGGTTCTGGTGCATTCCATTCACGAGCACTAAATACTCGCACCATGACCCGTTGTAACTATGGGTCCAGGAGCCGGCTACAACTCTTTGATTCTAGGTGTAGCAAGCCCACGGAGCCGGTTGTAGCGAGAGTGTTCCCAGCTCGCTCTCTCGCGCACCGACGATGACGAAAACACCAGTTGGTCGTGTTCTGTCGTAGATGGCCGCAATATGCTCTCCCGTTCGTTCTCTAATCCATTCGGGAGGGAGGTTCGCTTCGGAGAGAAGACAAAGGAACTTACCCGCTTGTGTCGAACCATTCTCCCGTTCCCTCGGGTTGTTGTCGTCGACATCGGCAGCGGCGCGACGACGGGATCTGATGCGGTTTCGAGCTCAGTTAGTCATTCGGTGAGCGGCGAACCTGGAAGCCAGGTATCCAGCGGAGTCGACCGACCGACCGACAGACGGACGGACGGACGCACTGTCGGCCAAATGGCTGGATTCACATCGAAACCGGAGTTTAGTCGGAGTCAGAGCTCGTCTAGTGAAACAAGAGACGATGCCGCCGACTCGATTGCGGCTGCCGCCTTCGCCGCCAACGCGATCATCGTGAACGAGCAGTCAAAGAGACCCTACTCTCACACTAATAGCTCGCTGGGCTGGGTCAGCTAGATCTTCCTTATCCTCTTTTGTCTAAATCTTCCAGGGTGCTGCTTCTTGGAATAATCTGGAAACAAACGACGAAGCGACCGACAGAGTGGCCAGGAACTTGAGCCGCTCGTGTGCTACGAGGCGGACGACGGCGGAAGCGACCGCCCTCATGGTCAGCGGTGTACATTGGCTGTCAGGCGATCAACTGGTACTCGCTCTTTCTGCACCGCAGCACTGGGAAACGCCAATTCTCGATCTGAGCCCATCCATCCGATCGTAGAGGGGGCGGAAGGCAGAAATTGAATCTCTCCTTTTAATAAGGTTCGACAATTATGATTGTAACATATATTCAGGACCGGTGCGAGTCGATAAGTTCCAGGATATTTCATTACGCTTAGCTTTCCCCAGATATAAAGGTCGGATCGGCAACATCACTCGTTTCAGGCAAAAATGGAGCTCCAAAAACTCACGACGAACGAAGCTCGTGGACTCGTGGGGGTCGGCTGATATGCCATTCGCCGTTCACGTACATATGATTCCGTCTAATTACTTACTTATTAGATAGATAGAAACTCCTCAATACGAGTGAATAAAGACTTTGATTGATATTATTCCGTCGATCCAGCATAACTCCAGGGCCGGAATCCCGGCTCAGAGGAGGAGGAGGTCGTGTGATTTAAGAAAGCTTTTATCTTCACTTCACGTTCGACTAGTCTTAGTAAAAAGCTCGACAGCTGTGTGTCATTTATGAAGTAGACTCTGAATCTGAACTTGAGCAGCGTTGTTCCGCTTCCAGTGGCGAACCGCCGCGCCGCCGCCAAGACTACCACCCGAGCGAATTGACAGAGCTCTTCTATTGTCTCAAGTTTGTCGTTGTATCAACCGACGAAACAAGGAACCTTTGAAGAACAGTTCCAGCTCTCCATTCTCTCGGTGGCCCGTTCGTCGTCTCTCGTAGGCGCTTAGGCGCTCATTCCGCTCGTTCGCCTGCGCCCACCCGCCCGCCGTCCGCCCGCTCGCTCGCTCAGTCCTCCATTTGGCCGCCGTCCGATTCGTCTCTAGATGAAAAGTACGCTCGGAGAGACAGGAAAAAATAATCTCTGTGGAATCAACGGAGACTCCGTTCATACCGTGTTCCCTGCATCTAGTACGGAAGGCAGATCCATTGACAAGATGTCGAAGCCTGAAGATGGCGCCAAACTTTCTAGGAGATTGGCGAGCTCTTTCCGAATGCTCGGCGCCACTCGAATTATTCAGATGCCATCGGCCGACATCGCTCCTAATGGGAGCTCCTCCATATTCTCTGATTGGGCAATGATGCTCGCCGTTCCTCTGCTCGCGCAGCGCCGGTCGGTGATTATTCGAGGGAGCAGGCAACAGCTGATCGGGGAAGATGCCTGAGCGATCGGGTGCCACGGCAGCATCCGTGAACTAGAGCAAACAAGGCCAGAACGACAGATCCGGGCTCCGTGTGAAACTTCGCAGAGTGCTCTTGACCGTCACGGAGAAAGTGGACCGAGGAGGACCCTCTTAGGAGACGTCGACACAAGAATCCGTTCAGACGGCGGGCGAGCAAGCGGGAGGGCGGGCGCGCCGTTAGTGGCTCGGATAACCGGTTGGCTGTTCCGCCGTTCGAGCGGACCGTTGGCTAGATAGAGAGAGGGAGAGAGAGAGAGGGAAAGGCCTTATTATCTGGTGCGCGTACGACAAACCCTTCCCTAATGCACCTCACAGCCTCCCTGACCGACCTCAGTGAAGTGCACGCTGTTCTCCTTCCACGCTCACAGGCACTAACTGGCTCTAGCCCGACGCCGGCCCGTAGTGGCTTCGGTCGGACAGTCGGTGCAGCTCTCTCGCGAGCTCACCCACTCACTTGGCCACTTTCTTTGTCGAGACCAATCGAGCTGCAGCCATCCGTAAAACGACCAATTAGCAAAGCCTGCCCGACTCCGGAACGAGTCGAGCTGCAGTCGTTGTAATTTTCACGGATAGAATCTACGGAGTGGACGTCGTTCGCATCTTCTGCTCTTTCGCGAGTCCACGCGACTTCTGGCTCAAGCCGAGAGTCTGCGTAAGAGCCGCGGCCGCGACTAGGAGTCGAATCGGATTCTGCACGACGTCGATGACAAAGCGAGCGATAGGCGATCGGAAATCTGCTCCGACTCAGCGAATCAGGATTTATTCTGTTTCAGTCGTTTCCCTGAGTCTTTCCCAGCGCGCGCAATCGTGTCTCCCCAACGAAAATTGATAGATGACACCTATTACGAGGAGGATTGATACTTTGAGGCTGTCGGAGCCGGGGTAGAAATCCCGTTCAATAATACGGGCCCGTCAAAAATCAACTCGCTTCTTGGGAATGGTTCGTTTGAATAAAAACCGAAGCGGCAAACTCGCGGGCAGCCTTCGACTGTGTACTCTAAATGCTCTCGTTGTTCTTGCTTTGCGCAGTCAAGTAGAACACGGCGATATGTCGGACTTGTTTTTCCATCGGTCTCCGCGCGTCTCTGACTGCTCGTCGGTGCGTCTCAGCATTTGTCGGAAGCTACCTCACCCTCTCGATATCACTTACAGATAGCGGATCAGGCAGACAGCCATCTGAGGGTGAACTCGGCGCTCAGTCGGACACAAAGTACTCCACATCGTGGTTGCTTGCATCAAAGGTTCATAGTGACGATAGCGCCCCGCTTAGGAGCAAGGAGCCGTAAAAATCGTCAAAGCAGGAGCTCGTTCGCGGTGCAGCGCTCGGATCGACGAGCAAGCAATCCGAGATTTCTTGGCGAAGCTCTTGCAAGCCTCACGAGACAGCTGTAACATTCGGATTCTCCTCATTCGATTCGGAGGAGAGAGACGAGAGATTGAGTGGGAGTCTGAGGATTTGGAAGGGTAAAGGAACCAATTTCAACATCTCGTTAGGCTAGCTGCTGGCTTTTGGAACGGATTTCGTTGCCTTTCAAAACTTCGAGGGCCTAGCGTCAAAGGCAAATCACAATCAGATTACCTCTATCGCTCTCGCTTGTTTCTCCGCATCGCTCCGGCAGCCGACACGCACCGTATGATCCTCTCACACGCATGGACTGGACTCAGTGGCTTTTCTTAAATTAAATAGTTTATTCGTCGGCAGTTTGTACATTCACCGAGCAAGGTTTCCGGTCGGAGATTCTGAGCCGGCTTGGCTTTGTCCGTGTTTTATGTACAGAGTATCGTTTCTATTGCATCACAGCCTTCAGACTTAAGGATTCACCTCGGCTACGAAGACTGGACCTTTTACTATTATTACTTCGATACACACTCACACAGAGAACATGAGTTTATTTGATTTTGGTTTGGTTTTGTCGGCGCACCATCGAGCGACTTCCCACGGAAACTCCCAACTCCAGCTCCTGCGAATCGATAATCCCATATCCCGCTGGAAATTTCAAAGTCGATCGAAGTCGATCATTGGAAAGTGTTCTCATCCTCGATGTGGAAAACTGTCGATATTCCCTCCCCTCCCCTCCCTCCTCCCCCGATAGTTTCCGACGGAGCGACGCGAGATCGGAAGCATATTGCAGGTGGTTTTGTTTTTGTGGGTGTTGGTTTTTTGTGTTCAGATTAACAGAAACAGATATTTACAGGAAGTACTAAACGCTTAACTGGCGGGCGACGTCTCGGATTCCTCGAACGGCTGATCCATTACGATGTAGCCGTGGACGGGGAGGATGTCGGCGGTAAGAAGTACGACGGTGCGAAGCCCGAGTTCGATGCTGCACCGAAGTAGGGAGGCGTCGGACTCCCTGAGAGCCCGCCGGACAGGTAGGGAAGTTGAGAACCATATAAAAGTGCGGCCGCAGCCAACTGCGAGTTTGCTGTCAGGGGCGCGGTTAACGGCGATGAAGTTAACGGTGCAGAGCTCGAGGCAGGTGTCGTGGGTGAGTTGGCGTCCATGCCCGGGTTTTGTTTCTTCCACTTCGTTCTTCGGTTTTGGAACCAGATCTTCACTTGAGTTTCCGTCAATCGCAACGATAACGCAAGGTTCAATCGCTCACAGACCGACAGATACCTGGAACAGTCATTCGAATATGAGCACTCTACTCGAGGTCACTGCAGCTCCGCCGAGCGTTCGTGCGTTCGGCCCGCCGACCGACCCATTGTGCACTACTCACCGTGTTGTCTTGAACTTGTTCTCCAACGCTACCAGTTGCTCGTAAGTGAAAGCCGTTCGTGCTCGTCGAGGTTTTCCACCCGAAGACGATGAGGAAGACGAGGGTGATTTCTCAGATTTTTTCTTCGAATGGCTCGACGACGATTTCTTGAAATCCTCGGGACTCCCTGGACCGTCCTGATCCGGGACACTTTCGTCCCCAGACCCCATCTCGTTCGTGTCTGGAACGAGAAATATAAATTCATTGACTCATTCCCTTTCGCGAGGCCCGGATTATGTAAATCCGCACAAGGAGTCCCGCGGCAAAATCACCGTGGGGTCGGCACTGATTTTTGCCGGATTGTTCCGACTGGACTCGGCATTAGTTCGATTAGTCCGGACGCATCACTCCGTTGCCGTCTCTCGGAGATAGTCCTCCTCGTCAAGAGAAGTCATCGATATAGAAAAACAGGAAACACACGAAAGGAGGGAGCCCGAGCTAAGCGTGGAACAGAATGTATTCGTTCGTTCTGTGAGTGTCCTCTCATTTCTCGTCGACTCTCCCGTGTCCGTTCACTTCCTGAGGGAGATGCTTTCATGGCCACGGAGCCGATCTCGTGCGAAGACTAAAATCGAGCACAAATAACTGTCCGCAAACGAAGGTGCGACTAAAACCCTCCCGATGGGAATAACATTGACCTTAAAAGAAACCTATGTCGTAACTCCGTCGTCGAATGTGGGAACGACTGGCCGCGAGAAGAAAGGTCCGACAGGCAACCGATCACAGCATGCTTGATGACACCATTACGACTCTTTCTAACAGACTCAACAGTTCCGTAACGGGAAACTCGGACGCGCCGTGAGAAATCTCATCCCACCAGGAGACCGACGACGACACCCCGAACGAATTTACCCCGGACTATCTGATGAGGCGATCGTCACAATCATTCGAATTCCTTCGGCGTAAAGGGATCTTTGAATATGTCGATTCACTCGAGGAAATTTCTAGCTGCGCGTGAGCAGAGCTTTGGAGACGCATGTCTGATGTCTCCTCAATGCTCCGAAGAACATAGTGATTGATTGTTTTCCGATTGGTTTCCGAGGAGGCCTGTGGTCAAGCAGTCTCCTCGATACGGAGTTCTTCGTCAACTACAGCTCAATAACTAGTGCTATTACAAGCGGTAGTGCTCTTTCGGCAGCCGGGGGTAGCTCTACAAACAGCTGATGGTGTGTATCGATAGAGCAGGATCGTCTTCGTGCCGTCATTGCTCTGACCGCAGCAGCCACGACCGATGTCGAAATTGTTGATCTTTTGTGGAGTTCTATTTTCTCATCTCTGGCCGAGTGGGACTCCACCGACCCAGCCTATCTTGACGTGGGGGTCAAGAAAGGAAAATAGTTGGCCGAAATTGAGACGTCAGCCCCGGAAGAATTAGGGTTCGGATCGAATCAGCTCATGACAAATTTGTTTAAAGAATGATTTGACGATGAGAAGCCTGAGACGCGCCCGCTCGTCTGAATTCCCCCCGTTCATGCCATGGACTCCGGTTTCTCATGGAATTCCTGCGTCCAAGTGCCAAGGACAGATCCCGAGACTGCCGTGATCGTCGCGAGAAGTCTCGGAGACGCGAAGAAAAACCTGGCTCATCGACCACGCGGCAATCGTGACAACTAATTGTGGCAGCGGGAGGGAACTTGACTGCGAAACGAGGCAATGGCGGGATCCAAGAAGGAGTGCCTCCGTCGAGAGCGCTCATACATGTCGAAGGGTTGGGGGAGCGTGGAGCCAGTGGGGTGGAAAATTAAACCAGGGGTTCGGGAAGTCCATTTTGTACCTCACCCCCGTTACGGCTCCCTACCTCGCTGGCTCGCTCGCTCGCTGGCCCCTTTCCCCGTCTCGGAGGAGGGGTTGGGGAGGAGGCAATTATAGAGATGAGGAGATTCGAACGCGGGAGAAACGAACGACGAAAGAGGAGATAGACAAAGAATAAACAACGGACCACCAGCAACCGTAGCACCAAAAGGAAGAAGCAATTCAGGTGAAATGCCTTGGGCAAGCGCGCCGGCAGGAGCAACAACGATGACGACGGCGAGCACTCTGTGCAGACTTCGAATGAGGATCAAGTGAACGAGCGGCTGAGTGATAGACGAACGAACTCAGGCGGATACACACAGACACATTGCATGGTGGGCTACATAGATGCGGTGGCAAGGAGAGACACTCGAAAAACAATCCCCTCGTAAAACGATAGGGGTGCGCCTCCAATCGGCCACGAACTCGGCAATCACCGAACACGAGACGAGAGGAGAAATAGTCCCCAGCGCAATAATGAGCGCGACAGAGACGAAAAGAGGTCTGCCGCTTGAGAACGCAAGCGGTCGGATCTTCGGTTTCCTCCTGCTCATTTTTCGAGAATCGGGCGGAATCCGATTCGCCACGAAGCTCTTCTCCTTGGCCCCAAGCCGCCTTGAAATCATTGTGTAGATTCTCTTGTCCGGGCTGGATTAAGGAGGAGCAGAAAAAGCGTCCTGTCGCAGTCTGCTCGAGAGCTCGGCCGCATCGATCGCCGATGAAGCAACAAATCAGTGAGGCTCTCAATCTCGCGCATCGGTGGCGCTTTGAATTTATGCGACAGGGCGACCTTTACACAGACTGGGGAGATGGAGACCACGACGTCGTTGGCGCGAGAGAAAATATCGAATCGAGGCTACAATCAGCAATATCGAAGGGCCCGACACCCAAACAGATTGCTGAGTAGAGCGATCAAGCGAATTTATAGTTCGACTGTTTACCCAAAGCGGGAGAGATTGTTTATTAGCCGCTCCTTCGAAGGCGATTCGCTCTGACGAATAATAATCAAAACATGGAAATATATCTAGTCCGGATTCCCCACCGGTGAAACCATCGACAATTTGAGCGAATCCCTTGCCCCGCTCTCAGCATACACTCTGCCAGGAAGGAAATCGAGGTGCGGTAATATCGTCTTACACTTTCGTCGTGAAATTCGAGAACATAAACTCACGAGCGGCTGTACTCGGAGCTCCGACACCTCGAGGGCTGTGCGTTTGATAATTCGAGAACAAGCACGGGACAGCTCGGGTGCGGGCTCTCGCGAATGTGTATCGGCTTCGTAATTGATAAATCGATGCCGAGAGAGCATTTGAAGTATGGCCGTTTGGACCCGCGACCGTATTAGTACCATGTTGTTCGTCTCCTCGAGGATACACGAGGACGACAAAGAAAGCAGCTGGGGGGTGCGAAAGATCCTGAGGAGGTGGCAGACGAGGCTCCGAGCAATATCCCCCTGGGGAAACTCGGTACAACTCGCAACAGTGTCGTTGTCTATGTACGAAATGCTCGTGTTGTGGCTCTCCCTATATCTCTCGACCGCGGCTGAAGACCGCGAATGAAGGCTCCCTTGGGACAGCTTGCTTGCCTTGGCAATACACGCCTGTCTAAGTACAGCGGGCGTGAATGCTGTCTGGGCTCTGTGTAAACGACTGACATGCTCTGCAGAGCGAGCCTCTTTGAATTACGCTTAATTATTCGCCGGAAAAAAATCCGTGTCCTCGACACGCACAGACACGTCCCCAATGATCCGGACAATGTCGTTCTCGGATCGGCGGGGAATAGATTTGACGCTTCCAGAGTTCGAGGTCTCCAGACGTCGGAAGTCCACCAATGCTGTCGCTGAACTGCTCCTCGGTCAGAAAGTCTCAGTCCGCTTCCCGAGAGAGAACGCTTCCTTCCTCCCCTCTATCCGTGCTGTGTTTGTCGGCTATGAATGGACCGTTCGTCGCGAGCGTTATGGCCCACTCCCCAGGCTACATCTGCATATGTAATATGACGCTGGGCTTTCAGGAAAGTCTACGACCGAGTCATTATGGCGATTTCCTTCGTCGTTGCCTCGCATCCCGTAGACGTATCATCTCTCGAGCCGTCACTCTCTCCATCGCGAATTCACACATTCCCCGAGAATCCAGGCGGGAGACTCCGATTGACATCGAGCTCTTGAAATCCACGGCAGATTTTCCGGTATGGATTATCGTTATTCGATCCGCACAGATTCTCCGGAACTCGAGCTCGTCATCGATATCATTTCGATCTGGTAGGGTTCCCTCTGGACCGGAGCCAGGTGATGCGGGAAAGACAATCGCTGGCTATCTCAGACGGGACAAACAATTATTATAAATGACATCTCAGGCGGCACCCATTTATTTAGGTAAGAGAACATGCTCGGTCATTCGGCTCGGAAGAGAGCAGCCCATGAAATCGAATATTCGCCTTGCCCGGGAACATCTGTCTCTGTTCGTCAGTCAGCACCTCCCCGATCGCTCGGTCGGAGAGCTTGAGATAGACACCAGTCCGAGATCGTCCAGTCAGCCCTGAGTATTCTTGTGAGCGTGATTCCCCAGCCGATCCCCATTTTGCCCCGTTCCTCTGTCGCTAGGGATCCCTGGTGACATTCGACATCAATCAGGCTCTTGTTCCACCAGCAAACCAGCAGGCATCCGGGCAGGCAAGCAGGCAGACCCGCCGACCGCCTATTTGGTTGGTTCGTTGGTTGGCGGTCGGCCGTCGTTTGTTCGGACCTAAGGCGACCGATCGAACGAACGAGCCCTGACATCTCAGATTTCCACATGCTTGCCTTAGCCCCCACGGCACATCAATGGTTTCCCAGAATCAGAGTGTTCAGTATCTACTGGTCGCGCCGTTGGGAGTTGAAGGATACCCGGAATCCACCTACACGTCCGAAGAGTACTCTATCAACAACGTGTGAAATAACAGGTGCTGGCATGGGTGTCCTTCGCAGAATCTCTCTCGTTCTATAGTACTATTTTTCTGCAGAAAAATGTCACCTAGACCCCTTTGGGCTCGTGCGCTCTCGACGGCACTTATTTTGGAGACAAATTCCTCGACTCGACAGTCCTGAGCTAGAAAGTGCTCGGTGCAATGCGCTAATCATCGATCCCATGAGAAACACGGATGCTCTCGGACTCTCGGATGATTCCCGCAAGCTCGTTCATGTTTCTATCGATGTGACCGAGATTTTCTCCGAGAAGGGCCTATGAGGGTTTATGGTGAGCGAGCCAGCGCGCGAAGCGAGCGGGGCGCGCCGCTGAGCTAGCGATGCAGATGGTAAACCCACACAAAGCGAGGAGAACCACTTGATGTGTTAATTGAGAAAAAGTTTGAGGGACTATCTCGCTCCACTGAGCAATGGGTCGTCGTCGTCGTCGTCATCTCCGCTACCACCACAGATTCATGAGGACCGGATCAGAGGCTCGACGACGATCCCGAGGAGCTCGCTGGGAGGGTGGCGGGATCAACGAATCGGGGAGTGAGTGAGCGATTGACCGGCTGACTGAGTGACAGCCGAATGACTTTCGCATTCGACAAGCGGAAACGCTTCTAATAGACCTCCGGACTTGCCTAGGATCACTGCTCTCACCTGAATGCTGACTCTCCTCGTCGAATGTGATTCCCTTGTGTGCCGACCCGATCGCCGCCCACGCGGACGCGGGGTTAAAACGTAACTGTAAAGCGGCCACCGCATGGTTCGTCTGTTGGTTGGAGCCGGTGAACTTGCCGGGGTCGAGAATGTCATCCACCGAGAACGACGTTTTCCGCGGGGAGTTCTGCATGCAGTGGTGCAGCTGCTGCTGCAGATGGTTCTGCTGCAGCGCGGCCGCATGCAGCAACTGCAGTTGTTGCAACTGGAGGTGCATCGACGAGAAAGGCAGAGCTGTCGGTTTGATGAGATTCGCATCGTTCGAATCGATTGCCTCCTGGGTGAGGCACGCGGGACTCTGCGACGACTGTTGGTCTGTGTCGGCGGGAGTAGCGAGCCTGGAGCTCACCGTCATCGTGGTGGTTGTCGCGACAGTGCTCGTGGTGGCGTCTTCTTCTTTTTTCACGAGATTGAGAACGGTCGCAGCTTGAGTAGATTCACTCCGCGGTGGAGTCAGTCTGTCCTCCATGGCGACGTGCTCCTCAACTGTCATTTGACCGATGCCTGTCCGGCGCTGAGCCCACGATGAGGAAATTCTCAGAGAGGCGTCGTCGTGATTATCTCCCACCACGGTAGTTTTCGGCGGTCACACTTCAATCAGTCGGAACTTCCGCGCACACTCAGCGTCCGAGCGGAATTTCCGGCGCTCGAGGCGGCGAACAACCAGGTCGACTGATCTATCGACGTACAACGTGTACGTGATTCGGTTCTTCCGCTAGAGGCGCGCCTGAGATTGCCACCGCTGCCGCCAGCCGATGGATGACACGATGCTTCCACTTCAGAACATAACAACCATGTGGTCTCGTCGACGAGCCGGGACCGCGCACTTCTGAAACGAGAAGCCACCTTCGAACGCATGCGCCGCCGGCTCTCGGGCGGAGCCTTGACAATAAGGCGGGCGCTGCTTAATGTTGTGGGTGTTCTCTGCCCGCCGCTGTGGTTGGTGCTTGCCTGCTCTCGAGATCGTTGGGCTGCTTGCCCGTCCGTTCAGATAGCTGGATATCTCTTTGCTTGCTCGCTCGCTCTCAACATGTACGAGTGGTTGCCGGAAAAGCTTAGATGGCTGCTTCGCAGTCTCACTGGTTCGATGGCGGAGCGACCGACCGACCAACCGATCGAGCGAGCGAGCAACGGAACCACAGACGAACAGACAGACTCACGTCCAGCCGGGGATACAACGCTGGGGGACGGGAAGACACTAATTGAGAAGAAGGACTGACAGCAACCGAGAGAGAAAACCGGGGGAAGAAAAAAGAACGTGGAACGAGAGGCAGGCGCTCCAGGAGCGGCGGCAGTTGAAAGGGAGAGAAAAGGACAAGCTTTGCCTTTTGGCTCCGTTAGTTAACTCACAGACGAGCGTTTATCCCGACGGCGCAGCCACGGGATCCGCCGGAGAGACTGTCCGACGTTACTCCGGCGGTCGCTCATTCCGCTAACGTAATTTCCGACGTTCAGGATGAGCTCGCATCGTCTTTCCATTCACACCTGACATCCCCCCCCCCCTCGCCTCACACGGCGTGACAAGATTTTCCGGATACATCATCGAATATGACCCGGGCTCCGCATTATGCGATTGCTCAGGATCGAATTTCACGTCATCAGCACAGCAACAGAGCCGATGCTGTCTGCTAGGCGCTACGCTCCAGTGATTGCCTTCAGCCGATCCCGCACGGCGAATCGCGTCGTCGAGGTGAGAATTCACTTGGCAGCTGGACGTTGATTGTCACACATGGCAAATCGTCTCGCATGAAAACATGATCGCGAGTGCGCGAACGCTCATGCTCATTCATGATTCGGCAGGAGTGTGCACGGCAACACCGTCTCAAAATTATGCGAACAAGCACGCCTCGTGTCATTTTTTCGGGCGCCGGCTCATATCGATATCATTCGAAGCGGACCATGGATTTGTGGGAAGGAACTGTGGGAAAAGCCCCTGCACAACTTTCCAAGGAATGAGAATGTTCCCGCGTCTTGGGATGTCCTGGAAAGAACCCGCCGTATGAGTGTTGTCCAAGGCACCCGGGTCGGTCATCCCGATGCGCAATATTTGCATAAACATGCATTATGAGCGGTTTCCGACTTGAATAGGAAACATGGGGTCACACATTCGCACGGGAGCTCGTCTGAGAAATATTCTCTGTGTTTTCGTACATCGCGAATGGACTCCCGAACCTGCGTCTTTGCCGATTGGAAGATTTCCGAAACAGGTCTCGGAAGCGATGCTCTCGTGAGGCCCATTAGCCACGCGACAGGGCTTCTCGTGGATCTCTTTTTTTTTCGCAGAGCAGCACTTCAAAAAGTAGCTCCGCACGGGGTGAAAAGAAGCAGCGCCTCGGTTCTCCAATCGCAGCTCCCTTGAATTCCATCAGCGCCTGCCTAGACTTAATTTGATCTTGTTGCTCCCCTTGCCGACTCTTTCAATCACTTATTTCTTCCGCTTATCTCTCCCGCTCGTCTGATCCCTGCGACGCTCTCGATTCCCATCGCGGTCCTCTGCAGCTACCCATAGGTTGAGAGTTAAGTAGCAAACAATCACCATTTCATGCCGCTTTGGGCTGATCTCGCGTTGCACCGCGTTGTATTTTTGACAATGATCCTCCCCCTCTCGCTCATTTTCTCCTGCTCATCCGTTGCTCCGCGACCCAGGATCAGCAGAACGGCATCAGTATAGCAATCTTCCGTTATCAATAAAAGCTTGGCTGCCTGGACCGAGCTGATAAACTCGGAAGAAGCCACTGCAGTTGCTAGCGGAGCTCAAAGCCTGGCTCGGCTGATCGCGTCCGACCTGTCGTCCGATTGTCCCCGCTTCGTTCCCGCTGCCGGAGTCTGCCTGCTTCTGGAAAGCTGCCGACTAGTGGAGCGAGCTACCGGCGCGAGATTCAATCAAAGTATCGAACTTGGAAATCATCCATAGAATTACCTTATTTGAAGAATTCTTCCAGATTTTCGCAATCTGCAGGAGCCGGGGACCCAATGTTCGGAGCTGGGCGACCCAAAGTCCCGAAAACCAAAAACCCTCTGACATTTCCCCCACCAACGATAAGCGAACATTGAAGATTCAATGACCGCTTTCTGTTCTTTTCGTTCGATACCGAGGAACTCGCAGTCCCAGGGCATGCTCAAACGTAGACTTTCAGATTTGTTTGTGTGTTTTCGCGAATGAGCTCGGAAGTGTGTTTGTTCATCAGTTGGATGGTTTGCGATGACTAAGCACTTCGCGTCGAGGGAATGTGGCTGCGAAGAATACCATACGAGGTACGATACGGAGCTGGTCAACAGAATGAAGCCAATCAGAATCCTCTAATCTCCTGGCCACTGGGATTCTCGCACTCGCATAGCGCGTGAGCGGTCATCGGACATCCATGCGACGATCTTAAATCTTACATCTGCTCGAGGGATCTCATTTTCTCCTCGCAAAAGGATGTCGCAGATGGCTAAAGCCGCACAGCTGCGGCGGGGTTATTCGAGACTATTGGAGTGGTAAGGTATTAATAGCGGCGAGCGCAGTGGAACCTCTCGTTAATCGACTAATGTGAACGGTAGGACATGCGACGCGACGGATCTTGCCGCTTATCAGGGTGCCCGTCTCCGCGTCTTCGATCCAAATCAAATCGATCTCTATTATACAAATTTATTATTCATGTCTCCGATGCTCCGTCGACGCCGAAGGCATACACATATATATTTATGTACAGCTTTGCTTAAATTATGATTTGAGAGCTCCTCACACGATCTAACATTCCTCCCAGGACGTTGTTGAATCCGCGGAAGTTTCGTCCGAGAATTCCCCCGAATCTCCTGACCCGAATATTCTTCGCTCGCTCAGCGCAGATCCTGCTGCCGGTAGATCGGAGACTTTCGGGATGTCCGAAGAGGCAGGCTTTTCCAAGGCTGTTTTAGCTGGGAGGGCTTCAGCTGAGGCGATTCCAGCAGCAGAAGCGGCTACGGGGGCCGACACAACAACTGGAGCGAGCTCTGAACGCGGCGCTTCGACCGACGCTTCGGCTACGGATGCCGCTGCGGGTGCTGCAATTGAAACGAGCTGAGCTTCGGGCGGAGGTACCGCGACGGGAAGGGCTTCTGGTTGCGGGATCGATGCGGGAACAGGTGCCGGCTCGGTGACTCGATTCGGAATCGGGACCGGACTTGGAAGTGCCACGGGAGCTTCGGCCGGAATGGGTTTACGTGTTGCCGCGCCTCGTTCATCTAGAGCGAACACCGAGAAGGGTGCGTCGGCTGGAGCGCTCGATGCGACGCCGGGCTCGTTGCTCTCGACCGTAGGATGAAATCCCGTCTCGTCGGCATAATACCTGGAATAACGGAAATTTACTCTCTAGCAAGGATCCAACTATCCACCAGGTGGCTGTGGCTCTCTTGCACGGCTTGACTCGTCTTATCGGAGTGATGCTGGAGCCCGACCAGACATGAATACAACATGCTGAAAAAATTATGTCGCGAATGAATCGTTCTCATCACAGCACCCTGCCTGGCGGCACTTTTCTGCCGTAAATGGGTCGCAATGCTTTCGGTGGAGTCTCGTAGTGGTACTTTATCACTTCGTTTAAATCGACCAACCCGAAGAAATCTGTGACAAGTGAAGGGATCCGGCCAAGACTCGTGCCCCATTCTTCGCCACTCATCTCTCCGAATGTCTACGGACCGGAGCCAAATCTCGCAACAATGATGAACCCCACTATGATTTAGGAAGTCGATCTCCAGACGACTGAGCTTCGGTAAGCGAGGGCGCAAGGCAAAGAGGGGCCGAATGTGCTCCCCGAGTATCGAACACCGCTCGGAATCGCCTTCGAATGCCCTCCTGAATCTCGATTTTGGTAATTCTGATTGAAACGAGCGACTGATTCATATGTCGGAGTTGCCTTCTTCAACTGTATCGGGAGCTTCCCGGCACGTCCCCGTCGGATGGCGATTCTCAGCGCCGTACTTCGATTCTCTCATCAATCGTACTCCTAGAAATTCTCCGAGAGCGTTCAAGTAGCTAGCATGGAATATGACCGGTGGGCAAGAGCCGCCTACAGAGGTCGATCTCAGGAGCTGTACATAATTACAGCGCGTTGCTCCGTCCCAGACGCGAACACAGGTAAGCAACGCCTGATCTAATATGGACCCCATTGATTCGCTCTTCAGGGTGCGGCTGCCTCCACATCTGCTTTCGCAGACCTGTTTGCCCGACGGATACTTCGAGTGGTCCGCCCGCGTGCTCGAGCTTTGCCGCTTGGGAGTCACAAACAACGAGCGAAACGATTCTCGAGGGAGATTCCACTGACGGCAACAGCAGTGCCACCAATAGTTGCACATTTGAAGCAACGAAATATCGGCTTTCACCTCATCAAAACAGAACCTCGCGTATGTATGCAGGTCCACCGGAGATTCATCCGAAGTCAGCTCACCGTCAGTTTCCCGATCGTTTTCTGATGATAAGCTCGCGAAACAGGTAGGAACGAGGATACCGCGGCCGAACTTTATGGCGCGCACTCCTTCGAGCGGAACCGGATGTCCAACTCCCGATAGATGGTACGATGTCCGCTGACCTCATGGAGTCCGATTGTCCCGTTATCCATCAAAGTGTCCATTAGACCAGATAGCTGCGCCGGATTCAAAAGCGATACAGGAGGGGAAAAACAATTCTCCAATCCAATACGCTGACACAAGTCGAATGTTGTAGCCATGCTCTTCCGCTAAAGCTCCGATCATGACTTCGAGTTTCTGATACCAATTTTCCTCGCGAGAAACTGTCGACCGAATACTCACTTCACCGTTCTGATCCGTCCGTCGCCTAAGTTAATCACGTAGAATCCTTCGACGCGACCATTCCCATCAGACACTTCGGCATGACCGTGAGATCCCTCTGTCGTATCCACTCGATACGCGAACTGGTACGGTGTCGGAAGACCAAGCTGGAAGTTTTGAATTTGGGTGAAAGTCTGGAATTTTCGCACTCGCCACTCAACTCATGATATCACGCGGGTGTCAGAACCCGTCTCTCTTGCGTCATCGCGTTCGGAAAGATCGGAGGAAAGACACGCAAGATGCTGGAGCTCCGAATCTTGAGACGCGCTTCCTCGGCTCTCATCCAACAAGATAGGACAGGGAGGAGACCCTCCCTTCCAGCCATGCGACGCGATCAGATTCAACATCCAATCGCGAGAGACGGAAACCTCTAGGATGAATTTCCTCACTAACCGTGCGCTCGAGAGAGATGAGCGATAAGCACAGAACACAAACTGCATTGAACTTTATAGGTGAAGACATTTCTGAGAGAGTCCCTTGCGACACTTCAATTCCTATAACTCTTGTCTAAAATATCGATCGGACGTCGCGGAGCACTTATATACGAATCGAGTCAATCGTGCTTTGCACTACCCTTCTTTGGGCGAGAAGGCGAAAACTGTTCTGAAACAGTTGGATGCCCGATGCGGGTCCAGATAACACCGATGCCCCAAATGTATCAATACTTTGGACACAAATTCTCTTTGCTCATCGAACAGCGTGAGTGAACCCAATCAAGCAGAGGAGCCCCGGTCTGGGTAAGGGCGTATGCTACTTCCAAAATTGAGCGGAGCGAAACTCAGCGAGATTTCATTGGAGGCAATCGAGGAATTTGGAGGATTTGGGGCTGAATTCAAATTCTGGGAGCGCGCTCAGAGCATCGCATACAAGAGATGTACCTCTGTTGCCTCCTCACATACGCTACGGTCTGATTTCTGATGTGAGAGACCGTACAACCGGGTTTCCGCATGCAATGGGATCCCGACTCGAGTTCTATGAGCGATTGGATGCTGGAGCCCATTCACAGACGAGCATCGCAAAACGCGCGCATCCCGACTGAAAGTAGTGGAGACAGTGTTCCGGATGATCAGAACTCCTATCGCAGCTTCACATTACCGAATGATACCGAGAAGCAGCGGATTCGTTATTGTAATCCATCAGCCAAACTGCTTGCGTCATCTCATTGACTAACAAGTAAACATTCTCTTTCTTCTACCCGGGTTTACGAAGATGGGTATGTTTTTCGAAAGTCCCAAGCCTAACTGAGAATAGTTTGAAGTATTGGCGTCAGTCAGCTTATGGTTCGCGAAAAATCGAATTTTTTACTTTTCTATGGGGAGGAGTCGTCGAAGTTGGGAGTGTCGTGAGTCCAATTATTATGCTTACTGAGCTTTGATGAGCAGAAACGTCTTTCGAAATCAGAAGAGAAGGGAAGTTTAGCTTTCTCATGGTCCGTATCCTGACCCGATGGAGTTTTATCGGCAGTGCGCAGAGAGGCGGGCTCTCTTATCATGCCGTTCCGGACTCGAGGCCAAACTACGGGAAGGTTTGAAAATTCCCAACTTCGACGATTCCTCCCCATGGAAAAGTTCAAAATTCGATTTTTCGCGGCCCATGAGCTGACTGACGCTAATACTTCACACTATCGTTAGTTGGGCTAGGGACTTTCGAAAAACATACCGATCTTCGTGAACCCGGACTGAAAAAAAGAATGTTTACTTGTAAGTAAAAGAGTCTCGCCCTACAAACGATGACATAGAGAGATAAGTCCGTGTGTCATCCAGGACTTCACCGACAAGAGCCCTGCCCGAATTAAAAGAGGATTCGGTGGAGAGGATGCAAGTTATTTTCACCGTAACATCGGACCACCAATGACTTCGATCCCGACTATTTCAGACAACGGGTGTCAAGGTCACTCACTACAAGACGACGATACGTCGAGCCAGCTTTGTCATTCAATGAGCGTCAGGAGTGCATACATGTGAAGTCGGCCACACTGACGTAAGCCCAAACAGTATTATCTTCCTGTACGACAGAACGCTTATCGGTACGGCCCGGAGAAGTTCGATGACGACGTGAGTTTCACTCACCTCTTCCGATCGGATGAATTTCGATTAGTGGATGCCGCGCCGCCGATAGGAAGAATACAATTTCTTATAGGTCAGCGATCTCGCGCTCTTTCAAGCGACAGCTTCATCAGCACAATTCGGTCTCCCGAATATCGATTCGATCGATAGCTTGGTTTTATGCATATGTTCACGCAGAAGTATAGTGATGGTGAAAGTCCAATCGTGAATTTTGACCGTGAGTTCAGGTGGAGATCTGGAAGTCGAGTTTCGAGAATGGTCTCTCCGCAGATATTCTCCTTACTTGAATCTATCGGCGTCGAACACCGTACACGGGAGGAAATCCCACCGAAAAAAAACCGTGGTTCTGCGAGTTGTTCCCCGAACCAGGCTGAAGCCGACCGAGCCGCTCTCGCTCAAGCTTTATTCCACCCTGCGAAGAGCAAATTACTCGAGATTGGATCGAATCATTTAAGTGGTTTTGGGAGCGCATTCGATTCAATCCGAAATCGTTCCAGTCACGATAAAGACAAGCCGACTGCGGAGAAAACGGCTAAGCCCTTCTCAAAAGGCTATAAGCGAGCTGCTGGATTTGCTCCGATCGGAGCACAAGGGGAACGAACTTTTCTAACGCTTTGAGACTATGCATTAAATTCCGCGAGTGATCCGCAGCCATGCGATTAGCATCGACGTCCCCGAGAAACTCGAGTTGAACGGTCAACTCTCACTCGAGTGATGATGTTCCAGGCTCGATTTTTTCCCTCGTTGAGGGATGTACTCTTCCAGTAGAGACGCCAGCGACTGCAATGTTCCAGTCAGAGCTGGAACGCCTCTCATAACAGCGTTGCCTGAACGGTCGACACCTTCGTAGGAGCTTTCGCGAACCTCAGTGACCGTCATACCCTTGTATCACCATAGTCGTGATCAGCAAGGACTACATAATATACAACGGCCTCGACCGACAGGACACTGAATTGAGTATCTACAGAAACTGAGATCGGATGCTGCTTCTCTACTTTGGAATCTCGGCAATGCGAAATTCGGATCATCCCCTTGCTACGAGCGACCACACGCCGTGACTTACACGTATATGGGCATAAAATTCAGAATCTTGTTATTCCTTTGATGCCATGCCTGCGCTCCACTTTCCCTTCAACAAGTTCTTTGCTCGGACCTGTAGGCGGCGCCCGAGCCCTCGATAATTTGGGGATTTCTTCAGAGAAATGATGCGCGAAGGATTAGTCGCAAGCGATTCCCTCTCCTCAGGGCGAATTTCCGCCGAGGCGCAATCATCAGTGATGGCACGAACGTGGACAGAACGCTCTGAGTGAAACTCAGGTTGGATGACTTGAAGTCTTTGCGGAGCTTGGCCTTAGTGGCGGCTTAAAAAGTTGGAGATTTTCTCTGTCAGCGAAAGAAACGGGACTAACTTCGAGGCGTGACTATACACAGGCGAAGTATTTCATTCAGAGAGCCAACGTTTTGCTCGGTCATAAGTTTGCTCTCGGTCTCACAAAGATTCAACTCTCGGCTACATGCGTCGGATCCATCTGGCGAGCACAGTCAACCCTTGGATTAGGGACGCTCCGGAAGAGAAAAACTTGGGCTACTCGTGTTGCTTCAAAGCCACGCTTTATCTCGAGGAGACAGCGAAACAGCAATTCAAGAGCTGAGCAGCTCAACGTCCTATTTTCTCGGGAGTGGTTCATGTCAAACTTGCGTTTTGCCGCCTACGACCGACGCCGACTTTCTTGGTCATACCTACTTCAAAATTCACCTTAGGATTCGGGGAGCTCCAAGCTCGAGGCTCCCTCTCCGGAATCGATCCCGTCAACATTCTCGAGCGCTCGACCGAGCTCCTCGTATTTACGCAACGATTGAGATTGAATTCCGCGTTGATCGCATCAGTAGTTTGACAATGGACCCATCTCTTTCTGTCTTGGGGGACGAAGCGGGGCTGGGAGACATATTTATGAACTTGATTTCCATGGAAATCACGACAAAGAAGTCAGCGAGCAGCGAGATGTGAGAACGCGAAAACGAGATCTCGCTTTTGGAGGTCACTCAGGGATGAAATTTGACTGAAGCCGCAGCGCGAAAGGGCGTGGACGGAAGCACCGCAAGGATAGAAGAATACGAGCCCCTCGGAGCCATCTCCCCCCCCCCCCCCCGCCGACTATGCGGTGATCCGCTTGGGAATATTCTCCGTACGGGCAGGACCGAGCCGGCAAGCTTCCCTGGAAGTTCCCCTTCGTTCTTCTATCGGAGCATTGATTTTCTCGATCATTCACGTGAAAGTCGCTGGATCCTCAGGAAGACTCTAGCTCCGAAAGACTCCGAAGAGTCTATGCCATGAGAGGAGCAGGAAATGTCTACCGTTCGGTTCGGGATGAATCTTATCTGAGAGCCACGAGGCAAAAACTCGATAGGAATTTAATGTCTGGCTTTGGACTCGGGCCGAGTCCACGGTCGTCCTACGGACCGCTCGGCTGCCAAGCATGAACCCCGCTGGCCATTGGAGGCTATCCATGTATGAAATTGCTGCTAAACCTCGTGGTCCCCGAGTGGAGGAAAGCAGAGTGGAATTCATTCCGAAGCAAGGGAAAGATGAAGGTGAGGGACCCCCGTTGCCCTTGCCGGCGAGCGGACATGGAGCTGATCAGCATGGTTCACTCCCAGTAAAATTCTCGAGCAGACGTCATTTGTACTTCGCCAGACGCAAACTCGAGGGGGGCTTGAGAGCCGGCGTACAGGACGGAAGTCGTATAAATCTAGATGAGTCGGTATCACATCACTTGCCCATCAGAGAAAATACGAGAAACAGGAATATCCAGGCATGCTGGAGAACACGGAGAGGAGTAATGCGGGAGAATTGCGATTCCGATGTTTGTAGTTTCGCTTGAGAAAATTAGAGAGGCTGCTAACTCCGTGGTGCGATCCCATATCGAGGCGAGACGGGGCTCTCCCTTGAGTTCACTTCACTGATGGGATTAAAAGTCGAGCTGCAAACTTGAGCGCTGATCCATGGCTTCATTCCTTGCTGCCTTGCGTGCTTACTAACTCGGACGATCGGCCGCCCGCCCGTCCGT